GTAGGCCATTCTATATAAATTACATGCACATGTCAATCAAATGTAACACCATAATCAATAATATCCCAGATCATAGTAGGCCATTCTAGACACTTACATGGCAAATACATGGCATAATTACACTTCATCAATTTACTGATTCTAATTATGATTGGAATGCTACAGAGTGTTAGTATGTGAATGTTGTGAAAACCAGCATTGTGGATCATTTAACATTGTAAAGCGCCATCTAGTGGTCACTTGAGTGTAATTTTTGTCTAAGCATTCTTTGTGTATATGAGACAAGTTGTAGTTCTCTATATTGAGTTCATAATAATTTAATACCACTTACTGAATTGTCCTTTGTTGTAGTTGGATGGGGTAGTAATCAGAATATTGGAGGATTTGGAGAAGAACCAGGAATGAAGTCACAATTGATCAATCTTATACGTTCTGTTAGAACCGTAATGAGGGGTGAGTTTGTTTGTTTTTTTCAATTTTATGTCTTTATATTTGTATGTAGTGAGTTTTGAATTTGTGCTCTCCCACTTAGGCTGTGCAATAGCATTGATTCGAACATGATTCGAATCCATTTCTTGTCCCATGTCATCAGTGTGATAGAGCAAACATGTGTTTTTCATTTTTAATCATTTCATAAACTTTTAAAGGCAATCTCTACATTACAGAATCAATGTTTCTACAGACCCATAATTTTCAGTATTGTAACATTTGATCATCACCTTGGAATTGCACAGCTGGACATCCAGCAATTAACTTCTACCTTCTCATACATAAAAACCTACATAACCCAGCTTTTCAATAGTCAAGAACAGTGATCGTCACATGTGTTCTTATTTTGTAAAAATAAACACATTTGGTTGCAAACCACATGTGATGCTATACATAGTATAGAAGCCACTTAGAATCACACAGATATGTTGACCTCTGCCCTTACATATATTACAACATAGCAAAAATTTTTAACATTCAAGTGTGGCAATGCATTTCTCTTATCAAACATAATTTGTAAACTGGTTTGTTTCACTGATGTACTGGAATTGTAACTGTTTGTTTCTGTTTTGTTTTCAGTACCGCTGATAATTCTGAACACAGTGACAATATTTTTTGAACTGATCCTTGGATAGAAGACATATCATTCCATATTCTTTATTTATTCCTACCTACTATATTGCATATGGTGTAGAATTAGAATCAATTGATTATTCAAACCTGGTCCGACACAAGGTGAAGCCTTTTGCATCAGCTTGTTTAGGGATATTTATTCCATTTCTGGATAAGAGTATGATTTCACTGTATTGAAGCTTGTAAGAATAAATAGTGAAAAATAGCCACAACTTTGTAATGCTGAAGATAATCAAAGCAATCTCAAAACAAAAGTTTTTTGTCTTAAGTAGGTTGAGGGTGCTGTAACTAAAGCTGGAAACTGAGTGTTGTATCATGGTGGTTCGCTGTATCATTGATTCACGACTTGCAAACACTGCCACTCTAAAAGGATTGTTAATATTATACTTGTTTGCCAGGGACACTCTGGTGACATTTGCAAATTCATCTGCAGATGTGTTAACCTTTGCACCACTAGACTTTCGCCAACATTTTTCTGCATTTTTTTCAATAATTCTGGGAATGAACCCTAATTTTGGAGCCATAAAAATTTAAGTCAGTTTTCAGTTTTTATTAAAAAAAATTGGCTATTTTTTTCCCAATCTTCTGAAGGAAAGTGCAGACTATAAACCGGATGATTTTTGAATTTGTGATGAAAAGAGGGAACTGGTGGTGAAAAGGTTATAAAGTTGCACTCACTTATACAAAACAGATTATTTTGTTTTCAACTCTAAGTGTCCTATTGCAAGAAATGCTGTAAACTCTATTTTATAGTGATGTGTTACAGTATTTTGTCTAACATTACATATTAGTTCTTTTTGAATAAATGTATGTATTTTTATTCAAAAATATTGGTTTACAAAATCATTTAAAATGAACTGATTAGTACCAAATTAATTTGTAAAACAATAAAACACTACCCTTGACTATTAATCAATTATTCTAGTATGCAGAATCTTCAATTGCAAAATTCCTCGTTCATTTTGAAGGTACAATAGAAAGTTAGTTAGTTACCTCGACTACAACATAATAACATCATGCTACTTACTGCCTTGGTTTGTTATCAGTATACATGTTAAAAAAAAAATACATATGACCTTAGAGAGCGCTATACACAGTTAATGAATTTGTGGGCATTTAATACTAACATTTTATGTACATCACACTGAATAAAGGAAAATATTTTTTCACAATACACGCGTTACTTTTTATTTTAATCACAGGAAGACAGTAGTTTTAAAACTCTGACCTTAGAAAACAGTGATGTGCAACTGTCTGTATTCCTTTCATGTAACCTTTGTTATAACCCCCCTCTACTTGACACTTGGAGAAATTGATGTCATCACCATGTCACATCAGTTAACAAGACTGCCAGGGTGTAGATACATGATACACAAATGAGCCAAGTACCTATCACAATTGCATTTTATTAAAAGCTAATAACCAGTAGCATTCTATGGATATAATAATTGTGATTTTAAAAATAAGTGTATTCCAATGTCAAAATATGTTTCGTCAGCAAGGATACAACTGCCTAAAAGCATAGACCCCGCCATGATGCAATGTCTATACTAAAAGTAAACAATGCATGCACTTTAAATTTTATGCAATTTACCACAAGTGAATTTCTTACATTTAGAACTGATATAGCCCAGCTCAACTTTTTGTATTGTGACAAATGTGAATTTTGGCGCAGCATATTTTTCTAACAAAAAATAAGCACAACTGCTAAAATTTATCCCAGATGCTAAATTTATCAGTTGTATGCTTTAACAAGATTACCCCAGTACAACCCATGTTGCACACAAGCTTGATTTTCTTTCATCCCAGACAGCACATCTTCATTTTCTGAAGTCTGAATCTACATGCATAGCAGCTTCCTTGCGGCCTTTCCAGCAAGTTGCAACATTAAGCAAGCACTTAACCAGTATGCTCACAGTAAAAAAAAAATATTTGAAATATAAGAATTCAACTCTCATACCATATTAAACCTACAAGCTATCATTTTAATCATTTTTACCATGAATTAACTGCCACCCACTTTGAGGTGTTGTACACCAGATCATGGAGGCAGGAAAGAGAAGGAGTGCGGACGCTATTGTTTCCGCTGGTTTCATGATGCTTTGAATTTATTTACTCAGTACACATTGTAATTATTTGGCAAACACGCTGTCAAGTGTCACCGTTAATCAGCTTACGTGTTTCGGCTGTATTCGCAAGCTTCACGAAGATTCTCAACGCACTGCGCATGCCCAAACAGATAATACAAAATGCAGCGAAAGACGTACACCGAGTGTACTCAATACCCCAAATCTATTGCAACAAAATGCGCGATTTTCAACATCTGCACAGTTCTGCACACCGATGAAAAATGCCCAGTCAAAACATCTTGTTATAAACTTATCATTTATCTTTAAATTTCACTGTGGAAATTTGCAGGATTTTTTTAATCAATGTCCAAATTTGGACGACTATTTCGATGAAAAATATCAGAAAAGTAATCACACATCTTGGAAGCGTCTGTATGTGGTATTTCCGGTACCTACAAGTGTGAAATGACCTTTGTGACCCGATGAAGGTCATTGTGTGCGCACAATTCTTTTATTAATGGTTTGCACATTCAATTTTATAGACTATGTTTAAACGGAATTTATTTTTTTCAGATCTACTCTCGTTTTTTGTGTGTAAATAAGCGGCTATCATGTAGATAAAACGACTTCTAAACAAAAACAATAAGTGGCTTAACCAGAGCGAAGACAAAGAATGTTTATAAGATTAACATGGGCTTAAATAGCGTCCTCACTTCTTCTGGTCAACTACTCTTTATACATGTACCTCTAAAACATTTAAACAATATAGAATATAAATAGACAAATGCACATTAATATTTGCAGTAAGTAACCTTTATTACCACAAGTGACACTACAAATCAAAAGTTTTACAGACTCAACAATAGCAGAAAATTACCAATTTCAATCAGAATTACTAGGAAGCTAATCTTAGTAGTAGAGTAATCTGGCTTTTTTTTTTAGAGGGCATATATTGTTTGTAATTCCTAAAAGAAAAAATTATTTAAAATCATGCATACATGTTTGGTCTACACTTTATCAGACAAAAACAGGAATCCAGTAATACATGCATCTAATAAAAACAGTCTCTGATTACAGTATATATGGAATGCAAAGCCATAGATGTGTGAAAACTTGTAAAGAGATGACTAGATATCATTTAAACAAATGCTAATAACAGTTGAGCGATAACTGACAATTTAAAAGTTGTGTTTTCAGAAACATTTTAAGTAAAATTGCAGTACAAGTTTCAGAGTCGGAATTGAAAATTTAAGAATTTTGTTAGTTGCATGCACCACCACCATCTTAAAAGACTTTACAGCTTAAAATTATATGCAGAGGTTGTTATGCTAGATTCCTACATAGCAAAGTCGGAAATACAAAGCATCCAACAACAAAGGTGTTAAAATTCTCCATTGCTGTCAAAGTAATCCACATCCAAGCCTGAATTTGAACTGTTAATGTCAGCAACATCGCCTTCATTGTCAGAGTCATCACCAGTAAACTCAAAATCTAGGCGATCAAACTGTACATCTGGTACCTACATACAAGACAGACATGTGCAATTGGCGAGAGTAGCATATATATATATACACTTCAAACCACTTTACAGTTAAGTTCTGGTTCAAAAGGAGATTCAATGCAGAGATGTGTATTGTCAAAGAAAGAAAAAGCTGCAATGCGATAGATAAAGCTTGACCAGATTTATAACTTCATATTGCCAGCAGTACGATTATCAAATTTAATTTTTTTTTTTTTAAGTTTAGATGTGGGAATTTATCGAATCAAGTAGTGGGATAGGGTTAACACAGACCCAGACACAAATGGCAGTAGAGATCTTGCCGAGAGCACAAGACAAGTTCTTGTCGCTCAAACAGCGTTCCATTCTCTCCAGTCATCACATCCACTGATCCAATTACCATGGTTACATAGGCCAGAGGAACAGTGGATACGATGAGTGCAGTGAACGAAACATTATTGGAATGACAAAAACAAATTTCGTAGCTCTCTTTCAATGAGATTGTCTGCCATTTGTGTCCAAGATCTATTTTTTGCAAGTGAAACTGTGGGTGAAGCATTTTTTGATTTCAACAAAATTTAACCGCATTTAATTTTACTTGGGTTCAAAAGTTGTAAATATGTCGACAGTATACAGGTCTATACAAAAACAATACGTGTTACTTAATTGTTAGCAATACATCTCAAACTACACAGAAATAAAATATCTTGCAGAATGGGCATCTGCACTGCTCATTGGAATTAATTAGTCACACCCAATCATAAAACAAAATGCTGGTTTTCACAAATTGTACAATATTTATTTATTTATTTATTTATTTATGTTTTTTACTCTTGACAATACAACATCTACTGCAAACTGGGTAGAAAAGATGATGATATTGGACAGCAAGACAAGAAATAAGAGAAGAGACAGTACACTGGATATGGTAATGACTGCAGAAAAGATGACAAGGACTCCATATCCATGGAGAATATGGAGAATAATAGTTGCTTGAAGTTGAGTATACCTATAGCCAACTCAATCCTCTCGTCATTCAGGTCCACTCTCACTCTAGCGTGCATACTAAAATCTTGGGATCTATTGATAATACGAAAAAGGTATTCAAGATACTGGGATAACAATGATTTGGCTTCGCATCGTGATTGTCATTGCGACATCACCACTTCATTGGTATGAAATTCATCATCAATGTCAATTTCATCATCATCGTCGTCCTCATCGTCGTCCTCATCATCCTCATCATCGCTGTCAAGGGCATCATCAGGATTGGGTGGGATGCTTTCCAAAATGACATCATAACCCCCTGAAGTGAGGGCTTGTTTCACCTTACTTGGGACCTACAGAAAATTGAGGCAAACATGCAAAATAAAAAACATCTGGACAACAGCATGCAACAAGTAACACGCTCATACACACAAAAACACAAACACAAGCAAGCTAGCAACACCAATTAAACCAGCAGTTGAAAAGACTGTAAAGTGGTTTGACAAAAAGGGGATAGACATGGAAATAACTAAAGTTATTTTATAAAAAAACAAAAGAACACTTATAACATCAGGAAGTAGTTTTGTATTGCATTTAATAAATCTGTTGATAGTGTTTCATGGTCTCACAACAGTAAAAATCTGAGGATTCAATAGTACTCACGAGGAGAAATTTTTGTGTCTCCTTGTCAACGACCCGACCCCAGTGAAATTTTCACTGTGCAAAATTTTCCGATTTCCCGTAATTTCTTTCCTGTAAACCGATTGTGGCGAACACAGACAATACAACACAGAAGTAAGTGATCATAATGCTAGGGTGTCATTGCCTTCATTAAAATGGCAGTTAATTTTTTGTTTCCTTGTATTAAATTTTTTTATGAGACCATCTATCAACAAATCAAAGCACTTCAAAACATTCATCCAGTCTGTAAATTATAGCAGAATAATGTATAGAAGTATGCTCAAAATAAGAATCAGAAAAACTATGCATATGAAAGTGAATGGAAGATGAGCTTGGTTTTCTGATTCTTAACTACTAAACACTACCAGCCATACAAGCTGCTATTGATTAAAGCAAACTACGTCAATAAACCATTCCAATCTAACATATTGAAATGAAAGTGGAATTTCAGATTCACAGCAAACCGTCAAGAAAACATTCCAAACAATCATATTGAAATGAAAGTGGAATTTCAGATCTATAAGCAAACAACGCCAAGTACACATTTGTTAGTCATATCATGCATCACAATTCGCGCAAGAACTCTGTGACAATGTCAAGCATTACCAACATTTCATCAAGATCTTGATGTTTAATGTTAATATTGGTAAAAAATCATCAACATATGTTTTTTATAAAATTAAAAGTGTGTAATTTGAGCTCAATTAACTTGAAATAAAATCATGAAATTACAATTCCATTAACATACAATTGTAGCGTTGTCAGTATTTTAAGGTCAAAACACTGTCAAAGTCTCTGCATCGCTATTGTTATAGTTTGTGGAAAGATGATTAGGCAAAATTTGAAAAATTGAATATCTTAAAAACAAAATAGTAAAATAAAACCACTGCATGCATAGAACATTGTGGTCTCTGTATATACAAGGCTACTAAAGTAGCTGACGCATACAAATGAAAACAATTTCAGTGCAGATTATCTCTGCTTTAATAACCAAACAACTACCACACGAGATTGTCGGTACTCTTTGATTAGGCTACAATTATTTTCCACTCTAATGCTGTACATTGCTCAACTTACCAGCCACTGCAATGCTCTGCTGTTGACAGCATACTCAGTAACGCTCATCATCATATCAGATACTTGATTTAGTCCATCCTTAGCCTGGGTTAGTAATGAGGATGGCAAGTCGTTGAAAACTTTGGCCTGCAATTCAAGATGAAAAAAACAAGAAAAACATCAGAGATAGCAGATCACATCTATACATGTATCTGCAATAGTGTTGCAGATATGATAGTTGCATTTTTAATGAGGTCACATGACCATATATGGTTATTAACTATGTTGATAAGATCTGGTGTGCATCGTCTTTAATATAACACTGAATGTCCATCTGTAAGCTATTTATAAGACTTCATTTGCACATACAGACACTAGTAATCACTATATCTCCTATCAGCACAAAGTTTTGATCTACCTTCCTTACAAGAAATCAAAATAGTTTTCTAGAAATTATATTCACAAGAAAGGTAGAAATATAAAAGAACATTTGAAACAGGAATATTGATGATACCAAAAGTGAAGCTAATTGTTACAATAATGTACAACAGAAGAACAGATACTTGCACAAATAAACACAATGTTTTGGTTAACTATGGAGACGAGTTTCTAACAGCAAATATTATTTTGGAAGGAGAGAACAATTTGACACTAATTCACATTTTAAAAAACTTACATTCTTGAAGGAGTCATAAAGTTCATCAGTAAAGTTCTTGGCCTTGGTAACTTGGGTCATCATGCTATCAGGTAATATTTTCAGACTAGCACTAGTTACTTTACCACATGCAATTTTCAATCTTTTTGCCAAATCACGGGCAACAGCCAATGTTTTTTGTTCTTGTTCCTGTAATTAACAAAAATATACACATTAGAACCAAATACTTGCATTTGTACAATAAAAAGTAGTAGCAACTTTTGTCGGGATAAAACAAAAAGACCAGCAATAGTTCCCACAAACACCTGACATACCTGTTCATCTGCAATAGATGACTGTTCACCATCTTCAGTTGTCCAATCATTCCATGTACTCCACAGTTTATCTTGGGCACTCGTTACTTGATCCTTTACTTTCTGATTTGTAGAGTCAATGTTTTCCTTGGCATAGTCAATCTAAAATATAAAACAGTGCTATAATGAATACACCAACTACAGCTATAAACCCTAACCAATCAGAGAATAGCTTGTTTGTCAAGCAGTTTTTTTTTTGACTTATCAAATACTGCCTTGTATACATGTCTTTCCTAGAACATAGCCTTGTGTACAAACCAATATAACCTAATTTCAGGCCATTTGGAAATGATGGCTAAACTTTAGATAAGGGAACTTACCAGGTTAACAGTGAATTTCAGGTTATCCAAAGTTTCCCGACTACGCTTCTGGGCATTTCGCAACTTTGACATGGCACGTGCATACACACGATGGCGTACTTTACCAGACAAATTAACAACGCGTGCAACTGCCGACTCCCCACCAACTTCCTCAGCATCAGGAATAATCTCCTTTTCAGAGTTAGCTGCATCTTCAGTTGCTTTCTCTTTTTCATACTCCTCTGAAAAACAAAACGTTCATCTATCAATAGTGAACAAGCTGGCATTCCCAAAACTCATGACGCCTATGCTTAGTCTATTCATTCCTGTAAATCTACATTTGTCCCTTTGTATATGCAGAATAGTAAAACACTACACTACACACAAATCTTTTCAATGCCATATTTTTCTAATCTCAAACACGCTTCACAAAAAAATATTTTTTTAAAAACTCCACACTAAGGTGGAGACTTGTAACTTTTGAAATTGGAGAGAACCAAGTTTCCTTTTTCAGTTATTGATTGCTGATTCTTTCAAGGAAGGTAGAAAAAAGAATCATGCATTAAAACAAGACATTCAATGCCACAGCCATTGAATTACTGTGGTGATGAAGAAATGCAAACAATAGGCCTAATTAATACATTCTGACCCAATACATTGCCAAATTTATGACTACAAATATTGTCTAGATAAAACATCTCATCTTACCATTTTCAGTTGGTTCTGGTGGCAAGTACGAGTCCACAACCTTTTCTGACAGGGACAATGTTGCATCCATAGTGCCAGTGAAAGCTTGTACCACTCTATTCTGCATCATGTAGTTTATTTTATCACTGCCAGCTTTCTTAGTATTATCCCAGGCAGTCTTTGTGCCATCAACCACACTGCTAACAATCTGTAAGTAAAATATATGCGTCATAATTTTGTTTATGCAACAAAATAGAAACTTACGAAGTCAGGAAAAGCATCTAAGCAAGAAATCTCATAAAATATGGACATGCATATTGGTTAGTTGATATCTTAGGAATGCACATCACTAGAGCAAAAACTGTATTTTAACACGTGTTGTATATGCCACATGCGACTCATCAAACTACACAACGACTTAAGTTATTAAAATCAAAGCGAAGAAGCTGATGTCAAAGTAAAGTATTATATAGACAACCCAAAGCCCATAGTGAAATACTAATACTAATATAAGCATGGAAGCTCACCTTGTCAGTTGGTTGGTTAATGATGGGACATGCTTCCTCCAATTTATCCATTGTAGTACAGGCATAGTAATTGGCCAAGTTGACTGAAAATGAACATACAAAGCATCGTATAGTGGTAAATATGGATTCTTTCATTTTGACTATTTAGAAATTAAAAAAAACTATCTAATTTCTGAATTATAAACTTCAATTCGTAGTTCAATGTGGCCACTGCACTATAATCCTAAATGCTTATGGGGGGGGGGGTCATTCATAGTGTATTTTCTGAATTTTTACTAGTTAGTCGTCTATCCCAGCCTTAAATAGAATCTCACTTACTTGGTTTCTCCAACTTATTGACTACAGGCATAGCGGTGCCAGCGATGGTCGCAACAGACTTCTCTGCAGTTTCCAGTGTATATTTGACCAATCCATTCCACTCTTTAGTCTTAGTATACATGCTAGACACTTGACCAATGGCAGAGTTCACCATGGGTAACCCTGCGACTCTTACAATGATATTCTCACCAGTTTCTGATGAATTTTCTACAGCCATTTCCTCCATTTGCTTGGTTTCCATAATCTCAGACATCACTGCCAGGCACAAAAACAAATTTTGGGAGTTGTGATGTATTTAACTATTACTGTAAAGAAATTATACTGTATTGGGTATGTTTACTGAGCTTTTGTGCAGTGCATTATGGGAGACAACTTTCAACAAATTTTAGATTCATACTACCAAATACAATACACAACTTTTTGGTAGCAAGTATATCATTGCATTATATGAACTATAAATGGACGGTTTTCAAATGAATAAATTAAAAGTTTTGAAACTAAGAAACTACATTGGGGTTTCAGTTAGAATCGTTTGCCATTATTCGCTTTCAAAAGCACTGATGACATGAATGCTGCTGGTGTACAGACTCAACACAAAGGTTGAAACCGAGGTCAGAGTGGTACTTTATACCACATATCTTATTTCACGCAAGGATGTCTACCTTTAAAAAGGTTGTTCCCCTTTGCAATACACGATAGACTGATAAATGAGTCTGGTTCATAAAAATTAACATATGAATGACTCACACTCACAGGGCAGGACACAAGTGATCATTATCACCCTCGCAAATCAAGATCCGCTAAAGCTAATTATCACTGTTAAAATTAAGACTACAAAGATATTTGAGAAATTTGATAGCATAGCTCGCCTAATCACTCGGAAGGCAGGAGGAGAGGCTGAACCTGGGACTAAGAAATTACTAGGCCTAGAAGAAAAAAATGTTTTCTGTTGCCATGTGCATCATTAAAAACATTTTTCGGTCAGAATGTTTGAAAAAATGAAGAAGAAAAAACAATTTTGACGAAAAATCCCTAGTTTTATGACAATTTCAGAATAAAAAGCCCAAAACAAATCAACCAGAAGTATTTTTTTTCATAGTGAAAAGTTGGTTTTAAAAAAATACTGAAAAAAAAAATTACCAAACCTGTTTTAAATGTAGGTGAAAAATGAAAGCTAAAATATTGAAAAGAAAAAAAATCATACATTTATGAGAATCAAACCACATGGCAGCTTACAGGTAGAAATACTTTTACCTTGTCTATGAAGATGTAAATGTAAAAGATCTTAGCAATGGTCTCTCATCTATAATTCTAGGCTGACTGACTGATTCAGAAGGGACAGTTTATATCAGTTGGGAGATATCAACACCTTTGATCACTCCTAGTTCATGCAGGCAAACTGTGATAATTTCATCATCTTATGGAGAACTTCGAACATTTTCATTTACTGATAATATCTCAACAATGTACTTTAGTGTGTGTTGTGATTCACAGAGAATTGTTAGTACAGATTTCACAAATATGGACTTTGATCACTTCCAATGTGTCATGTATGTAGACAATGGATCGAAAATGACATCATTTTGAACGTTTTACGATAGGGAGTGACTTGGGGCACGTCGCATGAAATGTCATAGATGACCTTTAAACCTGAATGAAGGTACATGCAACACAGACACACAAGTTATCTCCCAGACGCGGTTATAACAAGTCACTTTTCAAATGTTAATTTATAGCCTTCTTTTTAAGGTTTGGCTAAATCACAATCGCTGTCAAGCCAATGAAACAATGTGGAATATAATATGCACAGTTCTGAATAGATTATAATGAAGTGGAAAATTCCACAAACAATGGTTGTTTTCAAAGCAGCATTAGAAAAGCGACCTACAAAAACGATAAAAATTCCCCGACTTGGTTAAATCGTCACACGATGGGTCAACTGCGAGAAAAAAGTGAAGAATAACTATCCAATAGGAGGAAACAGAGAGTAGTCAATTCTACGTAATGGCGTTCATTGAATCACAAAACAGCTGATCGTTGACCACCTCGGTAGTTCGTTTTACAGTTCAAATGACTGAAATGACAAGAAACTAAACGTAAATACTTCGGTGGAGACTTGTTCTCCTGATATAGAATATATAAGTTACCTTAAATTTCCTGGTAAACGAAGACAACTCAGTTCGGTACCGAGAACAGCAAATCGAATGACGAAATCTGCTACGCAGTTGACTATAAGGGCAGTGGTCATGTGACAGTCATGTAAAAAAATTAACCAATCAACTTTGAGGCGTAGAGGTCAACATCCGTACGCGGGTCACACTGACGGAACTCAAATTCAGTCAGAGGTTTGCTTTTCTGTATTATCAGTAAGGTGTTTGAAGGGGTCATATTCGACGATATGTTTAATCATGTAAAGCCGCTCGAAGCTGGATCGTAGCATGAATATGACCGTTCAATTCAAACAAACATTAAGATCTTAGCTGAATTTATAGATAAAACATGCAAGTTGTCAGTGTGTATATAGATTTTCGTAAGACATTCGATTTGGTTAATCACTCACTCCTCATTCATAAATTCAATCGTTATGTCAGAATTTGGCGCTATTAAAATCGTACTTGGGCATCAGCAAACAACGGTGCCATGTCAAGTCAGTGGTGCCTCGGGGCCTTTTGCTCGGCCCCTTTGTTTTTTAATTAGTACATTAATGATTTGTCAAGTGTTTGTCTGCGATCATCATGTCAGTTATACGCCGATGATGCAAAGTTTATAAACATATCAACAATATTTTAGAATGCAGGGATTTGCAGGCAGATATACACACTAATTACCTGTGGTAATATCGTTGAAAACTTTCATTACATTTGTATCAATTTCTTGTGTTTCAGTAATCTTATCTTCTAGTTGGAAAGTTATTACGCAATACCATTTACATCCCATCAAGTTCGTTTGATGTTTTCATCATTTGTTAAATAATATTGTAAATATGACTCTGGTTTCTTAAACGTAATAGAAAAAATGCTCAGACCAACACGGGAAAAACGACATTGCGAGATTTGGCCAAATTTCGTCATGTTAGGTTCCTCCTTCCTTTTTATAGAAGTGGAACATCGTTACACGCACACTACTGAAACGTCTCATCTTTATTTATTTAATAGGGCCATGGTGAGAACTAGGCGCTGAGGTGAAACTCGGGACAGAGACGGTCATTGTACTGAAAACCCTATTCCGGAACTCTATTGTGACTGGCTACGGTGGCGCCCGCCAGTCAAGTCATGGTATACATATTCGATTATCGTGCATTTTAAAAGTCGATGGTCAAATCATGTATAAATATCGACTGTAGCTCCTTCAGCTTCAAAATAACATTGAATTTTTAAAAAATACATTCAGCAAATATATCTGCGAGATTATAAGGACCCTGGGAGATTAATGCGAAACATGCTCAGCTCAAGAAATGACTCGGCACATGCTCAGAAATATACATTGTGTAGTAAGCCGTGAAATAAGGGAGTTGTTCATTTGCACAAGTCCGAAGAAAGGCAGCATACTATATAGCCAGTATACAAATATTTAAAAAAAAGTCTCCATTAGCTATTTTTTCCCCTCTTTTTCAAAATCTGTTACCAAAGAGTCGTCTGTCACTGGCTTCCATTTTGAGCTGGGATCAATGGGCATATACAGTAGAGTAAATAAATAATAGTTGCTATGATACGTCTAGCTATTTTGTATAGTTCAATTTATTCTTGTCTGTATAAAATCTACACTTTACTGTGAACGTAAAAGCAACCTAGCCAACAGTATTGCAATATATATATATACTTGTATAGCTCACAGAACAGCAATAATATCGATAGTTCAAATGTAACAGTTTGTATTGGTAAGCTGATATTAATATACTAGTAGCTACCTTGTTTAGCAAAACAGATATTGCAAAACTCAGACTGCTGGTTAGGTTGCTTTTTCGTTCACAGTAATGGGACACCGTTTACCACACATCGCAATGTTCAGGTCATACAAAGGGTAAATACATCGCTCGGTGGGTTTACCCCGTCGCAACAAACTTGACACAGCGTCACAAACGCCTCCCACGAGAGACGATCTCAGGGAAAGGGGTTTTCTGTTTAGATGCTGATATAGAAAATAGATATATACTGATATAGAAACCATATACTGCTATATATATAGAACGAATAAAGTGAAAACGACAAGTTCCGGATACATGAACACGTGAACAGATTCCCCTCTCTATTTCAAATGTTTCTAGAGAAATTTTTGCCCACCGTTTACGACAAAGACTCTCTGTGAGCAAAATTCTGGTGACTTGCAAGATATTGCCCACTATTTATCCTACTTCCCAGACAGTTTTATTTCGCATCGGGTGTATTTCCATTTCATTACGGAACTTACCCTGAACTGCCACATCTTTCATCAATGGTTTCTCGTGGCATATACATTGGTTATTTACAGATGGTAGTGACCGTGCTATTCGCTCTTGCATTCCCTTATCGACAGATTTTAGTCTTTTGTCGAAATCTTCGAGCAAAGTATTGGATTTTTCGTCATCTGCCGCCCCCTCAGTCTGGTCATCGCTATTTTCAAGTGCTACGTTACCCAGAAGTTGTAAAGCACCATGGTCCACATGTTCGTCGTCAAGGAAACGCGGGAAACTGTCATCAATGTAGAATTCGTCAACTTCTTCACCAAAATTTCTACTTTGCTTTCTTGTCGTTTCACTTGTGTTACTATTCACTGAGTCTGTCGATTTTCTACGAATTTTCTGTTTATTTTTTCTTCTAGAATTTATTTTCAAACTTTTACTCAAAGTTTCCTTTCCTTTGATAGACGTTCGACACTTTGTAATCGGGGTGATACTAATTTGCTCTGATGGTGAAGAAGTTGCTGGGTGTGTTGACATAGTAATGACCTCATCACAAATTATTAGTGATACTTCGTTTAGCCTCGTTAGCCAGTCGACGTTCTCGTTATTTGTCATTTTGGCAACCGTTTTCCAACGCGGTGACGGTGTTTTGAATCGAGTCATATTGATATTTGTTAGGCAGAGTATAACCTCTTGTGTTAGGTCTATATCGCTGTCAGGTGTACCGTCTAGCTTCTTCGGAGTTTCATTTTTATTGACGTCGGTGTCATTTACCTGTAATATAAACACACGAATTTGAATTACTTTACGAACGAAATTGTTTACGGCTATTTTTCTAATTCTTTGTTGGATAGTTCAGACTTCGTGTAACTAGATCGCATTCCAGTAAACAATAGTTTGTGATATTCATTATTAATGCTAAACATACGATCACTCTGCGATACGAATGTAGAATACGAAAAACAGCCATGGTCCCTTTTATATATGTCTCTCAAAACACCCATTTATTGTATTCTGATCACGTTCCACGATCAAAATTTCAAAGTCACAATTATCAATTAATACAACATAGACACACAACGTGATAGAAGCCTACTTATAAATAAATTAAAATTACGCACAATTTGTTCATTTTGAAATAAATATAAGGATATTGATATGAAATACTAGTAGTTGGGGTGACAAACCCAATTTTTGAGAAAATATTACTGCCCTGTTGAAGTGTAATGTCCTATACTGGTATTGAACCATGGTGGCGCTTATTGACCACGTGATATATTTCAAACCACAGTCAGCTGGCGCACACGTGATAATAAAATAAACTTGTCTCTTATTTAATTTTATGGCATAAAACTAAATAAGAGACAAGTTTATAATGCGTCATTCAAGATGGCGGCCCCCATATATAGTAAATATCGTATTTATTTT